TGCTTGGCTTTGCCTTCCTGGGGGGGGGAGGAGGGGGGGATCTACGAGCCCACCTCCCCCTTCTGCTCTCGGGACCCTGGAGCTCGGGGCGGGGGCGGGGGGGGGGGGGAGGGAGGTGCATGGAGGAAGGAGTGCGGCCTTGCCCTGCTTGGGAGTCCTGACCCCGGATCGCGCCCGATCCTCCCACCCTGAGCCCAGCGAGCCTCGAACCCGCGGAGCTTAGGAGAATCGGGGGAAGGGGAGACGGGCGAGGGGCGCAGACGTTTCCCTTTGTTTCAAGCCTGTGTCCTCTTGTCTCGCCACGAACCGCTCCTTTCTTTAGCCCCGATCCTAACCCGGATTCCGAAGTTGGCAGCTGCGCGACTAAAGATTGCAAAGGCAGCTGGGTGGGCAACCCCAAAGTTGGCACGTCTGGACTGTTCCTGCGCCGCCCAGCTGGAGGCCGGGGACTGTCAGAAATGGTATATATATAGGATCTGCTTGGACGGGTGTGTGTGGGGTTGGACTAAATGACCTCCAAGGTCCCTTCCTCCTCCTGTTCAGGTTCTCTCCACGGGGTCTAGGCCGCCTTCTCTCTGCGTTTCAAGCGCGGCAGCCTCGTTGCCTTGCTTTGCCTCGCTCTTACCCCCGCAACCCACCCGCGTGGCGTGGACTCCCCACGGCCCCTTTGCAGTCCCGGCCGGCGCCCCTGAGTGGGGGGGGGGGGGAAAGAGGGGAGGGGGAGTTGGAGACCCCGCGCGCGCTCTCTCGTCCCCGGGAGGCTTTGAGGGGGAGGCGAGGCGTGTGGGGTGTCCCCGCACCTTGAGTAGCGCCCCGGGCCAGACGCGCACGGCGCCGTGGTTGAGCAGGTGGCGCACGGCCAGCTCCGGCCGGTGCTCCAGGCGGTAGGGCGCCCCCTGGAGGGCGTTGTGGAGCGCCGTGTTGCCGCTGTAGCTCATGACGTTGACGTGGGCGCCGTGGGCCAGGAGCAGCGCCACCACGCGTGGGTTGGCCTGCTTGCAGGCCTGGTGCAGCGGGCGCTGGAGGTCGCGGTCGGCGGCGTTCACCCGGGCGCCGGCTTCCACCAGTTCCTTGCACACCTCGTAGTAAGGCTCCGCCGCCTGCGCGGAGTGCGGCAGGGCGCAGGCGGCTAGCAGCGGGGTCTCCCCTTCGGCGTTCCGGGCCTCCAGGTCGGCGCCGTGGCTCAGGAAGAGGCGCAAGTGCTCGGGCAAGCCCAGCCGAGCCGCCACGTGGAGCGGCGTGTCGCCTTCCTCCTCCGACGCGCAATTCACCGGGGCCCCGTGGCGCAGCAGAAGGCGGGCGCACCTGCAAAACAGCGGGGAAAGGAGGTAACGCCGAGCCCACCCCCACCCCCAAAACCCGGCGGCCCATCCCCTTGCTCTGGGGATCCCCCCTGCCCGCTTTCCCCTCCCCCGCGCGCAAGGAAAGGCGCATCTCCGCAAACTCTTGGAGTTGGTGACCTTGGAAACCTCTTGCGCACCTCCTGCGCGGGGGCTCTTCGGAGCGAGTGGAAGAACGGGGTCTCCCCTGGATTTGGGAGGGGGTGCGCTCTTCCAAAAGGGGGAGACGAGACCCCCTTTCTCCCCCCCCACCACCAACTTCGGCTGAGCCGAAGAGGCGACGCTGCGCGCCCATTTTTACGCAGCGCTCCCACCTCGTTCTCTGCCTAACCCTCGGCCCGGAGCACAGGATAGTGTGTGGATCCGGGGCCTTAGGGATTGCCCGCTACTCTGCACCGAGAGGGGGGGGGGGGGCAGGGAGGAACTGCGGGGGGGGGGGGTGCAGCGGGGAAAGGCCGGAGGGAAGCCGCCCTCAATTCTTGCGCGCTGCTTCTCCTCCACTCCCAAAGCGAGGGAAAAAGGCCGGACCAGCTCGGAACAACTAACTCCCTGCGCGACCGGAGTTACGCCCTATCCAAAGACAGGATCAAAAAAATCATGAAAGGCCAAAGGAGGAGGCCGGAGGAGGAGGAGGAGGGACAGAATGGAAGGCGAAGGACACAAACGGATTATAGGTTGTTGTTGTTGTTTTCCTGATTTTCAATCGTTACATTTTTACATCGAGATGAGAAATAAAAAGACCAGTCGGCATAGGACGCCGTTGGGGATCGATCCTATCCCTGCGATACTGACCCAAAAGTTAGGTTCAAACCGAATGGACTATGTTCAATGTTTTGAATTGTTTTGGTCCAGAAAACATTTCTCATAATTACATTGGAATTGTTCCATTGGCCTGCAGAGAATGGTCCCGTTGGCGAGTTCTTTATTATTATTATTATTATTATTATTATTATTATTATTATT